CTATATTCAGGCATCAGGGCTTGCTGAAAACGTATGGCGAAGATGAAAGTTTCTTAGAACTTTGTCTCATTCCAGCTGTTGCTTTTCTGCCTTCTGGTGATATTCCATATGCATTTGATGAGTACATGTCTCATCAAGTGCACATCATCAAAGCATCTCATAACCGATAAAGCAAGTGCAGTGGTTCAAGGATAATTTTGTACATGGTAAAGTAAGGTAGAATATGGAAAAAATGGAAGGATTACTCGAAGTCCTTTATTTCCTCCAGATTTCTGATCCATATTTGATTGAGGAAGTCTTGGTATTCCGGGAAAACAAAATCGCATCAGAGCATGGTGTTTTGCAAAACATCTGTTTTGACATATATGTTGGAAAATACCATACCGATGTTTACATAATAAGTGATGAGATTAGGAAAGAGCTGTTACAAGTTCAATGCAAGCCAGAGGATATCGTTTTCAGGAGAGCTCTTTCTTCAACTCGCAAGAAAAATTCAGTACCACTGTCTCTAATAATAGAACAAACAAAACAAGTATAGTGTTCTTGTTGGATATAGTACACAATATTGCATCATAAACCATTAAAAATTATGTAACCTTCAGTTAAAATTATGTAATTAATTAAACTAAAAATTATGTAGCCCTCTCATACACACACACACACACATAAAAAAAAGGAATTTTCAATGCTATCTAGAATGAACTAAAATTCTGGAAGATTCCAAGTCCTTAATAAAGTAGAGGGGAAGGTTACTACTTGCTATTTTTACCTGTCAGGCAAACATACTAAGCATTAATTTAGAAGTCAAACAACAAAAATCAATGTTATATTTTCAAATTTTCACAGGACTAGTTTCGGTGGTTTTACTGAAACATCATCCTCAGCTGCAAAAGCGCAAATGAACGAGATAAGATATAGTGATTTAGATAATATAGACAGGAGTCAAGCTACTGGCGCCATCTGTTGATGAAACCAGAACTAAAACATAATTTCTTTGAAGGCTGAAGGCAAAGATGGATTGGAATTAAGGTCTTTAACTAGAACAGAAAGATTTTTTTGAATGTGAAATGCCTCTAGAAAATCCAGTTCACCAATGGAAGATGTCGATGAAGTTCACCTTTGTCGGCCTTCGAAATGATAATATCCGGGTTAGAATGAATTTCGCGCATTATAGCTCTTTCTTTCGCGTTTAGATTTGGTTTCAAAGATTTATTATTGAATTTCACATTATGAGCGATAAGATGCCTAATCCTGTCTTTCTGCGAATCTGAAACTTTAGTGGTGAACTTGAAAGCTTTTTTCGATAGAAGCCAAAATCTTTGGAATCGAGGGTTTAGAGGTTTGTGAGAAGTTAAAATCATATTTTAGAATTTTTCCTTGTTTTTCTGATAAACACTAGAAATATTAAGTATTGGCTTAATGTTTACAATGCGAAGATTTTTTGAACTACTTGAACTGGAAGACTGTAAAAGAAGTATTTCGAATTTAACTGCAAGGGTGTTTTTATGACGGTTAACTGCATTCTCCGTTCTAGACCAAGACGTTTGTTCAATGGCAGTGAATTTTGAATATGAATTAGCGAGTTCTAGATGACGCTTATAGAGCTCATGCTCAATTTTGAATAACTGTTGACGTGTATCCTTTATGATGGACCGAAGTAAGCTAGCTTGCAGTTTAACAGAATTCTTGAAACGCGAGTGGAAGGTTATCGAAAAAGCTTTTAAGTTCAGTAAAGTTTCAGATTCTCAGACAGAAATTATTAGGCATCTTATCGCTCATAATGTGAAATTCAATAATAAACCTTTGAAACCAAATCTAACCGCGAAAGAAAGAGCTATGATGCGCGAAATTCTTTCTAACCCGGCTATTATCATTTCGAAGGCTGACAAAGGTGGCCAGATAGTCGTCATCGATAAGACCACTTACATCGATTGTGTCACTAAACTCCGACCATATAATCCGATCCCTAAAGATCCCTCACCTTCGGAACTGTCAAAAATAAAAACTGCGATCACAATGAAACTTGACAAATCCTTTCAAGCAACTTAAAACAGTCGCTTATCCCATCTGTTGCGAATTGTGCCAGATTATATGCTCTTCCCAAAATTCATAAAAGTGATATTCTTTTCCGCCCTATTGTATCAAATTTAGGCACGGCCTCTTATCCGTTAGCTAAATACTTAGTTTTTAGATTTTCAAGTCTATTGGATAATAACATTTACACCATAAAAAATTCAATAGAGTTTGTAAAAAAGGTTAAAAGCATTTCTCCTAGAAATTTACTCATGGTTTCTTTTGATGTAAAATCATTATTCACCAATGTTCCACTGGAGGGTGCATTAAGATATCTAGCAACCAGACTTCCCGAATTTCATTTATGTTGCATCGAAATTGATGAGCTAATTTCCCTCATTCAACTCTGTTTCAAACAAACGCATTTTGTTTTACAAAATAAATATTACAAGCAAACTGAGGGATTAACCACGGAAAGCCCTCTCAGTCCCATCCTGGCTGATATCTACATGCATTATTATGAATCAAAATTGTTTAAAACTTTAAATTTCCCTGTATTGTTCCGCTACGTAGACGATACTTTTACCCTGTTTGAAGGTAATAAAGATGATTTAAATCAAGTTCTTTCAACAATGAATTCCATTGATTCTGCTATTCAGTTCCCTTCTGAACTTGAGACTTGCAATTCTCTTCCGTTTCTCGACATTCTGGTCACACGTAACACATTCAACTTCATTACTACGGTTTACCGTAAACCTTCATCGATCTGCCTTCCACCACACTTCAAATAATGTCATCCGATTAAACAAAATTAGCTTCATTTTATTCCTAAGTTTTCCGTGCTCTTCAAGTTTGCTCCTCCAAACTATCCCTTGATGAAGAACTAAATTATTTAAAAGCAGTAGCTATTGACAAGGGCTTTTCATCCAACATTATTACTCAAGCAGTTAAAAAATTCTCATCTCAGCACACCAAAAGGCACACTCTTGTTTTAGGAGATTATAAAAATTATGTTGCCATTCCCTTCTTTCCATCAATTAACTATAAAGTTGCAGGTATTTTACAGAAATTTAGCTTTCGGGTCGTTTATTCTCCCATCAATAAAATTCTGAGTTCCATACTCAAGGACCCCATTCCGGATATGAATTCCTGGGGTATTTACAAGATTCCTTGCTAGTGTAGTTTAATTTACATTGGTCAAACTAAGAGAGCCTTAAAATTTTGCGTTAAGGAACATGAGGCATATGTTAGAAAAAAAGGAAACAGAAGTCTTCTGTTACCCAGCATTGTTCGTCCGAAAATCACACTTTCAATTTTTCTCCTGCAAAAAGGTTTCAAAAAACATCTTCCAGTAGGGAACTGGATTTTCTAGAGGCATTAACGACCCTAATTCCAATCCATCTTTGCTTTCAGCCCTGAAAGATATTATGTTTTAGTTCTGGTTTCATCAACAGATGACGCCAGTAGCTTAAGTCCTGTCTATGTTATCTTATCTTATCTAGTTCATTTGCGCATTTGCAGCTGACGATGATGGTTCAGTAAAATCATCGAAACTAGTCCTTTGAAAATATAACGCTGAAATAAATTAATACTTGTTCGTCGTGTTATTGTATCTTAATACTAGACCTGCATTTGGTACCAAATAAATATTAGTTTGAACATGAACAACATAAAAATTGCTTATAAAACTGTGGTAATAATTGTATTATTTCTATGAAATAATGTAATATTTTTTATATATAACATAATATGGAACCATAAAAAACGCCCAAAATTTTCAGTGATATTTTCAGAAACTGTAAGGGTTTAATCTTAATTAATTATATTCTGAAATAAAGGGATACTTGTGAACTAAGTTACTGTAGTAAAGTTATGAACCAATATTGCACACCATGTGTTATTTTATAAAAAGTTCATATGGTGGAATAATTTTAACTAATACAGCTTGGTGTAAAAGTTCTGAAACACCTCTTGAAGACATGTACTCTAAACATATAGTAATGATATTTTCAAAATTAACTAATTTTCTAAATTTAGTCAATTGCATCTATCATTTTAGCTATAATTCTATATAGTTTTCGAAACCTTTTACAATTTTAAAATGACATATCTATTTCAAAAGTTATGAAAGAAATAATGGCTAATAAGAACCATAACTAAGCAATAAAAAACTAGCTGCATTTTCAATCCACCATAGCTCTCTCTCTCTCTGACATCAGATTTCCTCTAATAAAAGAACGGTTACTGCTTGTTTTGAAGTTTTTGACTTTAAGAATTCTTTGTTTCAATATTTAGTTTCTTTTAGGTTAGTTTGATGAATATCACTTGCTAACAAATGCTAAAATTATTGCACTGCATAATGTGAAATTTTGTTGTCAACAAGCTACAAAATCTGGTTGTCATCATTTGATGTTTAGTAGATGCCTTAATAACTTCAGTTTAACTAGAAATTTTTAAGATTCACCCAGGAAGGGAAGGCCAAGGAAATTTACAGTGCACAATGATTGAAGTCTTATTAGTTGTCTCTGAAAGACGAATTTGGTAGCTGCGAAATGTCTTTTATATAAGTAGCAGACTAGCTGTGCAGTTAATGTTTCCAACAGGGCTGCAAATTGGTGACTGAACATAGCTTAAAATCCAATAAGCCTGCTACAAATCCTTTCATTATTGAAAAACAGGCGCGCAATCATGCAAAAGGAAACATGTGTTAATAGGATAAAAATTATCTGGACTTTTAAAATTGCACTTTCTTTGACACCTAATAAAGTAGCCCATTCATACAATGATGTCATAATGAAATATTTAAACCACATTATACTGTTGCAAGAGTAAAGCATATTGTGTAGTTATGGTGTGGAGTTCAGTCTTAGGACATGGACGGAGTTCACATTTTAGAAGGAAAAATGAATGTGTCTTTGTATATTGCTTAAAATGAAAATTCTTCCTTCATCTATTAGCTTGTTTAAAACAGTATTTATATCTTCAAGGTGATAATACTCCATGCCAGTGAGAACAGTAGACAGCTGGTTTTCTTCAAAATGCATTCAATAA